GGTGTCCCTGCCCATGGCAGGGGGTGGGACTGGGTGGGCTTTAAGGTCCCTTCCCACTCGAACCATGATTCCATGATTCACGCCCCAGTCACAAAACACGGAGATTTTCTCCAGCACAAAACCGTAAGGGGAGCACGGTGCCTGCTCCGCACACCCGCGGTCCCCCCCCTCGCCAGCGTGCACGCTCCCGTGAGCAGCCCCACGCCGCAGCCCATGCGCTCACACCTGCGCCCACGGCCGCCCTCCCTCTCCGCTCATGATTCACGTGGGGGGGAGCAGCAGCAGCAAGAGGAGATGGTTGGGTTTGGTTTGTTTTTTTTTTTCTTTTGAAGCTGCAGCAATGGGCAGAAGGATAAGGCGCTGCCTACACCCGTTCTGCTCGTGTGAAAACACGCGCGCACCCCACACAGACTGCAGCCCTGGGGATGCATCCGGGCTTACGGATGTGGGTGGGAGAGATGACTCCCCCAGCACACGCCCTGGAGCCCCTCTGTGCTACCCCACTGGGGAAAACTCACCCTGGGGACGTTTGCCCGGCTTCCTTGGGAGTGGGAAGGTGAGGTGTGAGCCGCTGAGCCCCAACGACCCCAACACGCAGCGCACGCAGCTATCAGCTTCTCCCAGCTGGCTTGCGGGGGCAGAAACACCCATCAGCTGCAGACCCTGGGAGCTGCAGCCAAGGTCAGGCTCCCTTAATTAGTAGAGATGCTCGTTAAGACCGGCACATGCCCCACCAACCTGCCTGCCACTGTTCTGCAGGCATGCCTGCGGCTCTGACACTGCTGCCACCTGCGACACCGACCCAGCGCCGATTCAAGCAAGGGCACCCCACGGACACCCCCTGAGCCTGCCAGCCCCCCGCTGCAGGGACCCCCAGGGTCTCCCGAGCTCCGACTGTTGGGAAAGTTGGCCCCAGCGGAGGAAATACGGTCCTGGATGAAGCGGCAAGCTCCGGCGCAGCGAGGAAGATGAGGATGGATCAGAGGCAGGTCCGACCGCAGCTCTGGGTCCCTTGTGACTCATTTTATTTTCACTGCTGAGGAGGGTAGGAGTGAAAATACCATTAAGTTGAAACCAGTCAAGAACTACATATGTCTCTAGATATATCTGTACAGTCTACCAGTATATATACACATCATATATAAATATATACATAGGGTCTCCGGGTTTAAGGTTGAAACCTGTCGAACCCACTAAAGCCCACCGGAGGAAGATTTGGAGAAGAGACTTTGCTCATGAGAAAACAAGCCTAAATGAGGGGTTTAATGAACCTTCCAGCACTGGGAAGGGGGGAAGCGCCCAGCTTGCAGGGTCGCTGGTGTGTACCCAGGCTGTGGGGAGCACCCCTGCCCCCTTCCCAGGGAGAGGGACACGGTGCCCGTCCATGCCCGTCGCAGAGAAGGGTCAGTTTGGGTGGCTGAACGCAATGAGGTAACAGCTGGTTTCTTTGGTTTATTGCTTTAATGCTTATTTCAGTTGGATTTTTTTTTTTTCCCCTCTCTAATGTTTGGCCTTAAATCTAAATCTTGAGAATCAGGAAGAAGAAAAAAAGGAGTATAACCCCCCTAAACCCGGAAACTCTATATATGCAGGTACAGCTATCAAAGAGGGAAGCGATACATGTGGAAACAAGGAGAAGGGGGAATAAAAAATAGCTTTTCCAAAAGGGTAATTCTTCCCTTTTCTTTTTCTTTCCTTTTTTTCCCTAAAAAAATGGCAAAACCAGCCATGTGGAATTGGTTCAAGAAAGCAACACAGAGTAAAACTTCCAGGAGTTGGGAGTCAAAGCAGGAGGGCAGAGGGACCCTGGAGATCTCCAGCCCCGGCAGGACCCAGGTTTACACCCCTGGCAGCGTCTGGCCCCAGGTCCCTAAATCCGAGAGCAAGTGTCCCCCTGGCACCGCTGCAAAGCAGCTGGCTCTGCTCTGCTCCCCAGGAGGGGTCCCATGCCCAGGACAGACCCCCAGCATCAGGGTCCCGAAGGCTTTGGGTCCCGCCTGGATCGGGGAGGGCAGGTTTAGCTGGAAGCAGCAGAATGAGGCCGATGCGCTGAGCCCTGCATCTCTGCAGCACGGGGAGGATGCAGGCTGCTGGGAGGGGGCTGTGGCACCTTGGAGCTGTTGGGGGGAGCCTGGGAGGGATGAAAGCTGGGGAGGAGGCAAAAAAACCCCGTGGAGGGTCTTGCAAAGGAGGGTGCGTGGTGTGTTGCTGCGGGGAAGGTGCAACGCACGGGGCAGAGGAGAGCCAGCTCCAGCTGCCCAACACCCTCCTGCCAAATTCACACCAGCACGAGGGAAGCAGCCCCTCACCCGGGGATGTGGCCAGACACGAGGTGTCGGTGCCGGTCCTGCCAGCCCTGCCACCCCGGCCGACCCCCACCATCCCAGCCTGCTCCCCCGGGACAGCCGGAGCAATGATGTGAGTCCTGCGACGAGGTGACCCCTGGGCTCCCTCCTCGGCTCCGTTGGCTTGGACCCCATCCAACCTCCTGGAATTCTGCTGGGTGGACGGGGAGAGCAGAGCCAGTCCCAGGGCTGGCTGGGGTGAGGGCTGAGAAGGCAGAGCCCGCAGGCAGGGAATTGGGGGGAGCGCGGCAGACACCCCGGGGCTGACGCTGCGACGCGGCGCTGTCCTGCACAGTGGTCCCCAAGGATGCACGTGCCACGCGTGCCCATGGCTGCTGCAGGGAAGGAAACGGGGAAAGGCAAGGATGAAGCGGGGGCAGAGGGAGGCAAAGAGGGTCCCACGTGTCAAACACCGACAGGGGGTCAAGTCTCTGTGCAAAGCCCAGTCCTGGGAAAGGCACGCAGGGCTAGAAAACCACAGACTGCAGGAGGCGGAAACACATCATCAGGTCCAAGGGGATGGGGGGTTTCAGGAGGTTCCCGTCCAGCCGTAGGTACCGGAGCCGGGGCACGCTGTCCAGGTCAGAGGGGGAGAAATCCTGGATGGACATCAGCGAGGTGGGGCAGATCTGCGTCCCGTTGATTTCTGCAGGGAGGAGAGGAAAATGCGGGATGCAGGTTGGAGGAAAGGAAAGACAGAGGGATGTTTAGAGACCCCCTTCCCTGCTTATATGTTGAACTCCAAAATGGAGTTGTTTTTCTATCAAGGGGGAGAATCCCCAGCCTCTCCCAGAAGAGAGGAAAATCTTGCTTTTGTTCAGAAACGAAGTAGGTCACGTTCAGCCAAAGCGCGGGGAGGGATGCAGTGTCATTTGCGAGAGAAAAGGGATTATTTCAAACATGAAACCTGCCCAGCCAGCCCTAAGCCTTCAAAAAAACCCACCAAGGAAACCTGCTCCAGCACCGTTACGCTGAAGATAACGTCAATAACCAGCTCGGCGCTCGCTTCTGGGTTTCCACATGTTTCTCCCCACCCCGGGGCCAGTGTTACGGAAAATAAACCTGGGGATTCTTACGTCGTTACCCAACGCCAGGGCCTGAAGCCTTATAAAAGCTGGGTAAGACAGGCAAAAAAAAAAATGCAGCCAGGCGGGCATCCCTCCATGGAAAGCCCTGCAGGACCTGGATACCGGCGTGTGCGGAGCCAGCGGCAGGCACCACCTTTGTCCCAGAGTCCCCATTAGCTCCACTTTGGTGGTGATTAAATAAAACGCAGATTAACCAGCACTTGAGCCAGACATTCATCACGGCGTCATTGTTCCCTGGGAAGCAACTTGGGTGATGCCCCCGAGAGAAGGGACGTGGCTTTGGGAAGGTTTTGTCCCTCTCCCTGCCACCACATCCCGTAACCCTACCAGTGCTTGCCTGCAAGGGGCAGTTTTCTCGCTGGCCCCTTCCTGGCTCACATTCAGCGCCCTGTTCGGGCAGGAGCCGACCTGCTAAAGCTGCTTGGTGATTTTACAACCCCGCTTTGGCAGTGCACCACTCTTCCTTACAAAGCCACGCACCGTCACGGCACGATAAACCAGCATGGAAGTGGGAACCAGCATCCCCATCACTTGTGGGGACCACCATCCTGCCCGGCTGCTGCTTCACAGGTGAGTAACGCCCTGGGTGGGTCCTGCAGCCCCCAGCCCACCGCAGCCAGAAAGGGAAGAGCCCCGCGTGGTCTTCCCGGTGCTCACGGAGGGTTTCTGGCAGGAGCACCTCCCCCGTGGGGAGCAAGGACAGCATATTGCTGGACCTCTAATAGCAGAAACATCTGGGGCGACCAGGAACGGGGCTCTGTCTTCCTTCCAACTGTGTTCACACGTTCCACAGGCCAACACCTCTCCCAGGAAACTGCTGTGCTTTGCCTGGAACGGTGCGAAACTGCCCCGGTTGGTTTTCCAAGGCAACCTCCATCACAGCCTTGTTCTCCCTGTTCCTTCCTCCGTGAGGCTCAGCTCGAGAGCTAAGCTGGGTTATTTCTAACCATCTTGACTGCGTATTTGGCATCTGTTCTTAAAATATGTGCACAGACTCTCCTTTTTAAATATTCCTATTTCTGAGTCCTGCTGGGGAAGTAACTATTTAGATGGCAATGGCCCCGAGGGAGAGCTGCCCATCATAACAAACAAGAAAAGCCCTGCAGCACCAAGGGGGGGCCTTAGCTCTGCCCCCCAGCTGCCACCCTAATCCTCAGGCCATCCCTCCCCACTTGCACATCCACCCCACTTAGGGCGCTTGCTCACCTAGAAAGAGCCCCCAGCTCATCCCACCACCGCCTTCCCCCTCCGAAGGGTTCACATCCCACTAAAAAAACGACATTCCAAGGACACGCCACCCTCAAGACCACCTGCACCCAACCCCCGCCTTCACCGCAGCCTCCCAACGGGCCAGTGCAACTCACTTTCGATGGAGTTGTTGTTCAGGTAGAGGTGCTCCAGCTTGGGGCTGATGAAGGGGACGTTGGTGAGCTTGTTGTGGGCCAAGTGCAACACCAGCAAGTTGGTGAGGTTGAAGGAGTTCTTGGGGAGCCCCTTGTCAGAGATCTGGTTGTAGTTGAGCCGGATGAATGCCAGGTTGGGGAACTCCTTGAAGTAGTCACTGGGGATGTCCTCGATGTTGTTCCTGTCCAGGAAGAGCTGGTGGATGGCACTGGGCACCCCGGGGGGCATTTTCCTCAGGATGTTGTGGGCAAGGTTGAGTTGCATGAGGTTCTTGAGTCCCTTGAAGGTGTTTTTGTTGAAGACCCCATCGCTTAGCTTGTTGTGGTGCAGATCCAAGAGCACTAGGTTCTCCAGCTTGTTGAAAACCCCAGCGGGGATCTTGGAGATCTGGTTCCTGCTCAGACGCAGCTGCTCCAGGTTGGGCGGCAGGAAGGCAGGCACCTCCTTCAGCTGGTTCTTCTCCATGTAGAGGAAGATGAGGTTTTCCAATTTCTCCAGGACCCGCCTGTCCACCTTCCGGATGCG